TGCCACTGATTCACTAGGTCATTATTTAGAGCCTCAGTTCTCACCTGGAAAATGGGGATAATAATAGTTTTATCTCTTAAAGAGGCAGATATGTGATAAGATAGGCTGTAAGGCACTTACTACAGTGCCTGGCACTCAGGAAGCACCAATAAATACAATAAATAAAGCATTTATTAATAATAAATAAGTAAATAATGAACAAATACTTATACATAAATATGCAGTGTTAAATAAATGCAATAAAACTATTATGAGGGCCTCTATGGGGCTTCCATCCACTGACCCCAGCTCTGCCTACGAAGGTGACTTCTGACAAGGGTGGTGGAGATACATTCCAAAGTTTGGAGGACTTTGTTTTTAATTGATAGTTGTGCAGGTCACATTTTCCCCTTAGGTGCCAGAACATAGAGCATTTTCCTTTGTTCAGAGCCAAAACCAAACTCAGCTGAGAGAGGAAGTCTGTGGGATCCCACTTTGGGGTTGGGGGTGATGACTAGAGATATGTCATGTGTATGTAGAGTGAGGGGTCCAGAGGAGAGGGCATTCCAGGCAGGGAGAACCCCTGGAACAAAGGTACAGAGAGACCGGTGAGCTTGTGGAGCCCGGCCAGAGAGAAAAGGAAAATACAGTACAGCCAACAATGAGGTGGACCCGTGTTGGCAGGAGGAGCCTCTGGGAGATGGGGAACTATCAGAGTGGTGGGCAGGGACAGGGAATTATCACAGTCTGCCAGTCACTGATGTGCTGAAGGTGCTTCCACAGACCTCATCTCAAATCAGAGTTGTGAGTTTGTGTTTCCTCTCCATGAGCCTGGAGCCTCCAGGGAGGAGGAGAAGAGGATATTTTTTCACTTTACTACCCTAGAGACACACCCAATATTTGCAGAGGATTTGAGAGAGGTGAAGGGACTGAGCTGGGGCCACTTGGTTGTGGGCAGAGATGAAAAGTGTGGGCTCTGGGTTCCCGTGATAATGATGTAACTTTGGTCAGTTTTCCCATCTGTAGGGTGGGAATGATAATAGTACCTTCATTGTATTTTTTTTTTTTGATGAGCCATCCTGCCACCTGTTGGCAGCTCAGCAGCAGCTCAGCTCGGGCTGGGAATCGAACTGGCGACCCTGTTGCTCAGAGCTCGCACTCTTGAGACAGCTCTTAACCAACTGAGCCACTCGGCCAGCCGGATAATAGTACCTTCATAATCGGTGATTGTAAGGATTGATGTTCTTGGCTTGTTATAAATACTTCATAAATGTCCCTTTTGGGACTTTCAGTTCTTCTGAGGTCTTCCCCTTGGTCTCCTTACACTTATACCTGTGGATTATCTGTCTCTCTCCCCCACCCATGTGCTCTCTCTCTCTCTCCCTTTTCGTCCCCTACTCACACTTTGCTACTGGTCAAGAATGTGCCTTTGAATTTCTTTACTTTTGATGCTCCTTGGAAAAAGCCAAAAGGGCACAAGATCACACATAGCCGATAAATGGCAGAGTTGGATTTCAAATCCAACTCACTCTCAAGTTCTTTGAAACCACACTGTGCAACTTGGGCCCAATACTCACTGGCTGTGAGAAAGCATGCCCAAGGCCCCACAGCCGTCAGTAGCGTTGCTGAGATCCAAACCCGGACCTGCCTGGCTCTCTTACTCCTTACTCGCCAATCCCCATAGGAAATCTTTGGTTGCCCTTAAGTATAATCACCGTCCTTCTCCCACATGGTTATTTCACTACATTATCAATTCTCCCACAAGAATTCTGTGAGGTCATGCAGCAGGAGTCACGCTAAAGAAACTGAGGTTCAGAGAGGGAAAGCAACTTGTCCAAGGCCACACAGAATTGGTAGATATTGCAGGTAGTCTAGAGATGAGGGAAGCCCGGCCTAGCCTGGTGCGATGGCACTGGAGATGGAGAAAGGTGGATAGACAGGAGATATATAATATTTGAGAGGTAGACCAAGGTAGATATGCTAACGATGTGCTGATTGGATATGGGGGTGAAGGAGAGGGAGGGGACAAGAATGATTCCTAAGTTTTTGGCTTGAGTGACCCGGTGGACCCTAAATGGGAGTTATCGCAGTAGCAGTTTGAGACACAGGTCAGATAATGGTTGTGAAAGCGCTTTAGGGAAGGTCCAAGGGCGGCTGAAGTCGTGGGGTGCAACCGTGGCAGTGCGTTCCATTTTACAGATGGGGAAACCGAGGCACCAGATTCCAGCGGGTGGAGTCAGATCACGCCTCTCTCTCTTCACATTCCTTGAGTGGGTGAAAGGACCAAGGCGTGTTGGGCACCTACTAGCCCCCAATGCTATACCCGGCCCCGCCCCGCCCCGCCACACCCCTCCCGGCAGGCTTTCCCTGTCCGCCTTCTGGGTCCCAATAAAGTTATTGA